ATTGATAAGTTCTTTCAGGATTCTTATAAAGGCATGGCATTTTACAAGTACCATATTAGCCTGGCCTTAGCCATACATAACAAAATATTTTTTTTCCCTACATGTGAAATGTGTACCATAGTGTAATAAGACCAGGTTATCAGACAAATGTTGGCCTATAACCAATAGAAAACAGAAAGCCTTCCACTCCTCCGTAAATGACATTGGAGACTATCTCTTTCTACTGCTGGTTTTGATCCAAGGTTTGTGATTGGAGTGCGTGTGGAGAGCTCGGCATCTGGGTTAGACGAGGACTGGCGTTGGCTGTATAAACACTTGTGTGGCTCTTGTGCATCAGTGGTGCGTCTCTCACGGCTGTGTTAATTTTTGCGGAGTGAGGGAAGGATCCTCAGAGCAGATCGGCTCTTCTCGACGGACGTCTGTTGTGTTGTGTTGTCTCGCTATATTCACTGGCATGACTGGAATGAGATTTGTCAGCGGTTGATTATTGGACCTGCAGTTCATACAGCTATGCGATGATACTGTTGATATAAACACGGGTATACAGCAGCAGCAGCAGTAGATCTAATGTATTATAACAGATAATTAAAGAGGATTGTAAGAGCTTGTAATTGTGCCATGATTGCGATCTCATTTTCCCACTCAAAGTTCAAGTGCCGGCTTTTGAATCTTTTATCTTCAGAATTTCTCCCTTTGCCCTTTACACAGGGACTAAACTACACTACTTTTTTAAAGATTGTAAAGGGCTTGAAAGCTGCAGCACATCACTTTTTTGTTTTGCAGATAATGTCAAGGCAAGGGTATTTGTATAGCACAGTGCTTAAAAAGGGAACTCAAAGTCCCGAACAAAACAAGATAGAAACAATCAAACAAGGCGTTAACATCATGAACAATCACAGTATATTAAACAAGTAGAGATATAATCCCTCTGTTGTATGTACAGCTAAACAGAAGTCAGAGAAGAACTCAATAATAGATTAAGAAACATAGAATCCATGTGTTTTGTCGTACGTTTTGGGCTGAGAGCTGATTGGCTGAGCACTCTCTTTTTCACGTTTCTGTCTGAAAAAGCTGATCTTGAGACGTCACAGAGGCCAAGTGACACATGCATGTGAAAACTATAGAAGCAAACTGTGTTGAGAGCAAGGAACTATTTACATGGATGAAAGTTTGACATCCCAGCATTAAATACAAGGTTTGTTGATAATTCTAGGATTTTTACGACTTGTTGCTTTCTAAAAACGTCATTGTATCACTTGTTAAGAGAGGTTTCTGACAATACACACAATGTGAAAGTAAGTTAAGTGTATATAAAAGTAAGTAATGTACATTGATGGATAGAATAATCCATCACTTTTCCAACTATTTTCAACATATTTCTCAGGCAAAAAATTACTTACTTAAACCTCGTTATTGCTACTAACTTTTGTTGTACTTCTTTACCTACCCGTCTTGTCTCTGGGATGTTTTTAAATCAGTAAGAATGTACTGTATGTGTGCTGGAGTCAAAATCTACATAGGCCAAATGAGTAAAAAATGTAATTAAAATAATAACAGCTGAATAACACTCTACAAAAATTCACATTTTGTAGAGTAATTTTGTTCTATTTCCCTGTGTTTTTTATGTTAACTAATTAAAAAATATATAAAAAAATCATAGTAGTTGGTGAAAATAGTAGTTATGGTTCAAAAACTATCCATCTGTTGTTGCTATGGACGTACATTTATTGTAATCTTGGCATCTCAAATTAAATCCATATGCTAGCATCGTTGACATTACAAAAACCTCTAAGGAGTAAGAAATTAAGTAAAAAGGTGAAATTACAAAGGCACATTTTCTATCCCCGGGACTTCAGTCGAGCTTCAGAAATCTCGCTCGGAATAAAGAGTATGTGGAGGACTGCTATATAGGGGACACACGGAGAACACTGAAGAAACTTGAGCCCAGAGCCATATGCATATATGTGCTGAGCAGGTGGTGGATCGTCCCAATGCGACTTCTCAACAGTCAGGACTCACAATAACACACCAAACAAATGAAAAGGAAAGTTTATTTATGAAGCAACATGAAGAAAAAAGATAATCCTTGAATATACTGGAAACCTGCCCGGCGTCACAGCGTCTTGTACTCATTAATTCTTGCCATATTGTCACGATATACTTCAAAGCACGCCTCACTGCTGTATTTGTGGTATATCTATTATGTGCATGCATTTAAGTTTCCCTTGGACTGAAGAGAGTTTGCAACTTTGCATTGGTCTGAGCATTGGTCCAAGAAAAATTCAATTCAATTCAATGTGATCTTGTGTAGCCTTAAATAACAACAGCAGTTACAGTATCTCGGAGGACTTTACAAAACCGTTGAATTCGCCAACACAGATCATAAAATCAAACAATAATAAAAAAATACATAAAGCCATTGGTCTATAAGGGGCAGATGTCCCATGTCCATAAAGGTTGAATAATGTTGTTGAATGTCGGGGATTCTAGATCGTCACCACTGTCCTAAACTCAAAACATACAATGGATTTGGAGAGAATTCCGACTGCGCTAGAAAAAAATAAAATAAAGAAAACTTGATCCTTTCTGTTTCCAAATCAGTCAGAGCTTTCTTGTCTCTCTTGTCTCGGTCGAAAAGAATAGATGTTCAGATTGAGGCTTTTAAACTGGCAGCAGTGTGATTGATGAGGCTTTTTTTACGATTCGGGAAAGTCAATCTAATACCTGCTCCGTGCTGGGTTTGTATCGGTATGGTTCATTTGCAAAAACAGAAGAGAAGAGCTGTTTGGGAGAGAGAGAGAAAAAAAAATACATTATGCAAAAATCCGTGTTTTTTGAGTTTCCAACGATGTTCTGCACGGGATGGGATTCTGGCTCATCTGTTGAAAATGAATTTATTTGATATTTGCAGCTTTAAACCACATCGGAATAACTGCGAAAAGACTCACTGTGCATCAAAGACTCCAATGTAAAAAAAAAAATGTAACACTAAAAAACGGTATTCTTCCCTGATTAAAACCATAACATACAGTATTCAGGTCCATTCAAGCCAATATCAGAAAAATAGACTGTATACAGATGTTCAATGTCTATCCACCAACTCAAATAAGCCAAATAGGGAAGTGCTCGTGGATAAAGTTTTATTCTCTGTGATTCTGGGTTTTATATTTTGATATTGTCTTTGATCAATCTTTATGGCTTATATCCAGATTTACAATTAGATCCCCTGATTTGCGGGGGCAACTCCAGCTCGCCTTTGCAACACGTCAAAACCCGTAGGAACCATCCCCGATATAAGAAAATTGGCTCCAATTAGCTTCTTCCACATTCGGCAAACAATCCTAAAATGCGTCCAATGAACTAAATCAAGGCATTCCTTCAGTTGCATTATGTGTACAATTATAAAAGCAGAATGTAATTTCCCACTTCTACCACAAGATGGAGTTGTTTTAATAATCCAGGCACTTTATGTATCCATGAGATTGGGTGTGAGGTTTCTTCTGCATTTGACCCATCCTTCCAATGCCATTAGCAAAACATATCTTCAGGTGTCAATGCTGAGTTTGGTTAGGACCTGAGCTGGTTTTCGATGGAGAGGTTGAACCGGAGCACCCAGAGAAAACCTACCTATGCCAACTCCATAGAAAAAGGTCCAGGCATGGCACAGTGCCGCCTATTATACATATACATTGATCATACATTTTCTACTTACCATATTATTTTGCATTCTAAGACATGCTGTACATTTCTCCATTGTGAGATCACTAAAGTTCAGACCAAATCGAACATTCTCAAGATCATGTTTAAAATGAGTACAAACATGTGATAATATTGAAAATGGGGAAGCAATATGAACTCCAAGCATCTCCTAATCTGTCAAAGTAGTGAAGAAAACTTTTCAGCAGTCCATGAAATCTTAGTATGCGCATTACTTACCAGGTAATTAATCTTGGTCCAAAACTTCAAATGGCCTCTTCTTTTCAGCGGAGTTAGTTGACCATGATCCGCTATACCCCGAGTGTTGAGCCCTGGCGATGCTCTTGGTTTGACAGATGGAATGTTACTTGACACGAATACAATAGTGTTTCAGCAGCAGCAGCAGCAGCCCGCAGCAAGGTGGAGGGTCAGGACGTGCCAGCCGTGCTCGCCAGGCTGAAATGGAAACCAAATTGACTTGAGCAAGCGTTAAGGCATGAAATAAGAAATTACAAATGCACGTTTTACAATTAACTTTAAGGATAAACTTGATTCGAAAGAGGTTTGTGGGAATTTAATTAACCAAAAGAAGTGTCTGGTCAACTGAGTAGTTTATTTTACTGTGGCATATGCTCAGTTGGGATATGTTTTGGGTAGCATTTTTGTAGAGCGAGGTGAATTGAGTTAAATGCTGGCAATTTCTCTCCTTCTTGAAACATTGCTGGGGAACTTTGCTGTCATCTATTCACATATGGTTTTCATCCAAATACAATCTGTAAATCTAACTAAATGTAAGGCAATATCACTCTAAAGCCTTGTCCACAAAGCATCTTCCGACAAACTTCAGCCCTAAATGCTGCTACTTTCTTTCACATCAGTTATTTTCTGAGTCGTTTTATCTCGTGCAATAGATCAGCATTTGTCAAAAAACATCTTCAAGAGAGATTCCATTAACCTCTTTCCTGGCTAGCTCGCCACAAAGCGTTTACTATGGTGCAAAATTCTATAAACTATATTTAAGTTCTTCCATTTGCCATCGTGATCTGCCCACTCGCCCCCTCAATTTGAAGTAAAATCCATTCTTCCGTCGTCTACATATAAGATCATCTAAAATCTTGCCCCTCACTGATTCATGTCATTCATCGGTAATCCATCCCGACCCCTGTGTCGTCCATTCGAAACTATAAAGCTTCACTCCTTTATGTCTGTAAACCCCCAAAAGTCATAATTTCACTTTCCTTACCATGACAACGTTTAAAACAAATATTCTGTACTGTAAACCCCATTGTTTTGTCCACCCATAGGAGGCGCTGGTGTTTTCATATGGGACAGGTGGCCTACATACACTTCCACTGCATTTGGTGAGGTTCCCGCGGCTGCCTGCTTTTCTCTGTTAAATCAAACCTTTTATATCTACCAGAACAACCCCGTTTGTATGACTCCCATGTAAAATCCTCTTAGCAAACCTCCATGTTAGAGAGAAATCGCCCATAGTGACAGGAATCAGGGGGTGACTAGGTGATTGACGCCCCTTGTCAATGATTTCTGTAGTAGATCACTTTTGTTGATGGATCCATTCGCCGTGCACGCTCCAGTTTAAGTCCACGCTTCAATCATTTCTCTATTCGGTGTCCTTGTGTGCCCGTGTTGTGTAGTAAATGTGAAACAATGTGTTGTGTGTGCATGTCTGTGTTCCAAAATGTATGTGTTTCAATGGAAGTATCAATAACCTCATGTCCATTTGCCTTCATACAGTTAAGCCCAAAAAGCTAGATTTATGTTCCTTAAGTATAGAAGTTATAGCACGAATATGTCTTTATTTTTTTTTATAACCCTATACCCAAGTTGGGCTGCATTAACATGGGAAAAAAAATATAAGTAGCCATTGGGAGGTATTTCAAACATCCAAGAATTCACAATTAAGAATGCATAAGAGTCTTTCACAACTTTTAGCAAGTCCAAAACAAGTTGTTCCAATACAGAAAGCTAGCAACATGTTAGAATATTAGCATCACACTTCCTGTTTCTCAGAAAATTCAAAGTATGTGATTATAGTCTACTCTTCTTGATCTCAGGAGCTCATTTTGCAACTTTTACTGCAAGTACCGTGACAAACCTATTTAATTTGGAAAACATCAAGCTCTTTAAATCAGGATTTTTACCAATTCACCAAAGTTCATTCATAATTACTTTTTTTGATTGTTTTCCCTGACCCACCCTGTCTGGACTTGACCTGTGGGTTTTAGGATGTTGACCAGAAGAAATAACTTTGGGCTTAGCTGTGGCTTTTTCTAACCGTCCCATATGAAAGCGCTGCATAACTCTAACCACACAGCGATGAAGTATTCTCAAACTGCGCTTTCTGTTCCGCAGGGCAGCGACAGCGAGTACGAGGTGGACCCCAACCGGCAGAAGACCCACTCCTTCGTGAACCACTACATCAGCGACCCCACCTACTACAACTCGTGGCGGCGTCAGCAGAAGGGCATATCGCGAGCGCAGGCGTACAGCTACACCGAGTCGGAATCGGGCGAGCCGGAGCACTGCGCGCCCCCGCCCCTCCCCCCGCTGCCTCCTCTGCCCCCCCAGCTCAGCTCCCCCACCCCTCCGCCCCCCCAGCAGGCCCAGGGGCAGCCTCAGGGCCAGCCTCAGGGCCAGGGGACGCTCTTTAGGCCCAAGGGCAGCCGGACTCCCACCCCATCCCAGCAGAGCGCCAACCCACCCAGCCAGCACAGCACCCTCTACCGCCCTCCCAGCAGCCTAGCACCCGGCTCGCGGGCACCCATCGCCGGGTTTTCCTCCTTTGTTTGAAGAGCGACCATTTGGACGTGTTAGGGAATGTTGTGGAATGTTGATCGGGGACAACGCAATCAAGTAATTCTAGCTTTGGGTTGGTCTTTTTATTAAGTTTGTCAAAATTAGTTTTTATAAGCCAAGTTTTTGTTCACCGAGTTTTGTTCTTTTTATACGTTTAGTCTTGCATGAGTTTGTTCTTTTCTTTACGCGTTCTAAGGGTTATCTTTCTGTACAAAGTGGCACCAATCTGAATCACAAGTATATAAATGTATAAATATATACTATATATAGTAGGTATTCATAGAAGACTTATGTGTCTCTGGCTCCAGGATTCTATTGGGACTCTAATCATCTAATAGAGCCATAATGCGGAGAACAAAAGACACGTTTTGCTTGGATTTTAACACAGTTGTAAAAAAAAAAGGTCATGACACTCTTGGATAAAACCAAATCGAACAATTTATAATGTCTTGCCCGGGAGACTCGGACTTTGCCAGACAATGAGGATCTAATCATGGGTTCCCGCTCTGTGGCCGACAGCGCACACATCTGTGAAGTCGGCGTGCGCAGGTCAAGGGTCAGTGAGAGCCCGGCGCCTGAAGGAGGATACATGAAAGTCCTGTACATCAGCTCAGCAAACACGTCTCTGACTTTGAGACTTTGAGGATGCCACCTTCAAAGAGTTACTGTATTTATGTGACAGACATTGCAAGGGGAATCTGCGTTTTCGATTAGCGCTTCCGGACGCTACCGCCGATTGAATTCTGAGAAAAAAACTCAAAAATGTGCGCAGGTTTTCTCCGCGCTCTGAGGACTTTTATTTGCAGTGATCGCCGACTGCAAGTACGAGCAGGGCCACCTTCTCTTCAAATGTGATATTTTGTGAGAAGTTTTTTCCCTGCTTTTGTTCCTTATGGTATAACTGTTTCACTTCCATGCCCTCAAAGCGGTGCGCAGTATTGTTTTTTCTTTTCTTCTTCTTCTTTCGCACCGAGACAGAGATGATGTCATCGAAACGCCTCTTTTCTTCTTTGTGTAATCAATCACCAGTACTTCACAATGCTAACGTATGCAAGTGTCGGAGATATGGATGATGAGATTTATAGTTCATCCATTGTGTGTCTGGTTTGAATACTACCAACGTTCCTGCTGCAATTGTAAAACCTGCCCGGGGTAGCGCCATCTAGAGGTCATGGTCTGGCGTGCTCATATTTGCTATAGTGACGACTCAGTGGTGTGCTCTAGAGTTCAATGCTTAATAATGAAAAGAAAAAAAAAAGGTCATTGACTTTCTTTTCTCTGTGGGGTGATTTCATTGTATCAAACGCTTATCATGCAGAATCTGGATGAATATACGAACACAGTACATTTCTGAAATAAATTATTTTTCAATGTTTTGCCTGTCTGCTACTTTGATTTGTGTTTGTCGCAATGTGCTTCTGGATGTTTGAGATGAAGAGAATGGGAGTGGATGTCGTAAATTGAATATTATTATGATAAATTGTCTATCATTGTCTAGCATTCACGAGAGCTGGGTCACTATACTGTACACAGTGTTATAAAGCTTGTGAAAGATAAGATAAGAGATCCTTTATTCGTCCCACAGTGGAGAAATTTCAGTGTTGCAGCGCACATACAGGACAATAGTAAGACCATACAGGGAGCACGCAGAATATACAGTATGACTAGCAGCTATGTTTCTTTCTGCAAATGCTTCAAAATCAAACTGACCACACTTTTTCAGTCCATAACAAGCTGTCTTCATCTTATTAGAAAACATGTTATATATTTCATACTTTAATCAAGAGTGGCTGGGAGTTGATGAGGCTGTGTGAGGGTGAGACATCTGGATCAGAAAAAAGATTCCTCTACTTTTCAGAAACCAAGAGCGAAGAACTAGTTAGATGGATTTGTATTATTTCATGTCTATTCATATTATATAGTTAACTTATTTGTTTAAGCTCTAGTATATACAGTTCTTGCTTGTTTACTGTAAGCACTCCAGCTAAATTTGAAAAGAAAGTACATTTTGTCTGCTTAAAGGTCACACTATATATACAGTACGTTTTCATGATATAATGCTACATCTGATGGAGCAAAACAAGGCTGAGAGACGGCTGTTTTAACTGGACCCAACATGATTTAATGATGAGGTGTTTAAACGCACGGTTGACTTGTGATGATCAAAGTATGTGAGTAAATCCAATCTATTTTGGCAATATTCTTATAGTACTTACAGGGTCAAAATAATAAGTCCATAATTTCTGCTCTAATAGCCCTATAGTCACAAAAAAACAAGTCCTGTGTATTTCCCTTCACCTTCCTTTGTCTTCACCCTGCTGTTCACATAAACACACCAGGAAGCAGGAATGTTTAAATCTAACAAAATAATATTAAAAACACATTGGCAGCATTGCGATCCTCCGCGGGCGTTCAAAGAGCTTGACAAAACCAGCGGCTCATGGTCCAGCAAGTCACTTTTTCTCGAAGGTTCTGTCTGTTCATTTGATTGGAACTGGCTGAAATGCATCAGGGGTTAAAAACTCAAATACACATTCACAAAAGTGCTTTGGTTTCAATTACCCATTTCCTTTGATACAAAAAAGAAATGATTAGTTTGATGTGATATTGATTGGTTTATTATTAGCCTGGCTGGGAGTTTCATGAAGAGTGGCAGTTCAATCCTGATTGCTGTTAGAAGATTGTGAAGAAAACAAAAGTGGTGAAATGGAGCTTGTGTAACTTTGTGTACCAGAACACGGACCCATCTGGTTCTGCTTCGGAACATAAGCAATGCATTAACATGTTGTATATACCAGCGACAAGCAAAGAATGCATCAAATAAGTTACATGTTGCACAACCGTGGCTATGATCTTTGTGGAATACTCAATGTTGGAAGCTTCGATTGTCAAAACAGTAATAAAGTATCAATAGTGCACGCACATCTAAATATATATGAATGAATACATAATTGATACTTAAGTCATATTTATGAAAAAAGAGGGCTTGCCACTTTCAAAAATGAAGAAAAGCTGATGGGCCCTTCATAGCAACTGTACTACTGTAATTTTATTTTTACTGCGAGATTGTTATGATTCCCCCCTGCAGCACCAGCACCATAGACCGGTCCTGATCCCGTCCTGGTCCTGATCCCGTCCTGTTCCCTTCCTGTTCCCATCCTGGTCTCGTACTGGTTCTATCCTGGTCCCGTCCTGGTCCCACCATGGTCTCGCCTGGTCTCGTCCTGGTCCTGTCCTTGTCTCATCCTGGTTCCGTCCACTTCTGGTTTAGAATTTTGTAAATAAAACCTTTTTTCTGTTCTGGATTTTTAGGTCCGCCAATTCTTAATCTTAACAAAGACACAAAGTGTTACATGCAATTCCAAAAAAAGTATATGTATGTATATATGTATGTATTGGCAAGAATGCATAGCGGTAAATAACTTTATGGCAGAAAGTCCACCACTCGCTCCACCCAGGAGGTAAAGTCATCATCGGTGTTTGTCTTTATGTGTGTATTCTCATTTAGGAGCAATCTGTGGGCCTACTCCCATTGATAATATACATTTAGCTTGACTGAATTGTGAAGAACTTTATTTCCACAGCAAACTTCAGGTCAACACTAACAACCTCTCTCGCAAAAGTAGCTAGTTCCACATTACTACTTATAAATACGTAAAATATACACAATGTACAATTACAGCTATTCTGAAATTGGTTTGTCGATGAAATGCCTGACCTTTCTCTGCAGGGTATGGATAATTGGGATGAGTGCGGTGGCTGTGAAATCCTGTTATCTGGATACAAATGTGCCCTGGTGACTTGTCCCAGACTCCTCTTAAACCCACTATTCATTAACACATTATTTGCTCCTTGGGCTTTTCTCCGTCTCCGCGGTCGTCACCGTCACACCGGGGCCTGAGCTGCTGGACGCTGGGCTGTTTAATACTGTGGTTAGTGACTACTTCTACTTTGTACTCTTTGAAAATGTGTGTGTATCTATACGGTATGTGTGTGTGCTTGCAGACGTAGTAGTAGTAGTAGTAAAAGTATTGAAGTTAAATCAAATAAATGATGCAACTTTATGGCAAAAGGTCCACCACTTGCTTTGTATTAACTCCAACCAGCAGGTAAAGTGATCATCTGTGTTTGTCTCTGAGCAACTTATCTCAACATTTCTGGATCCAGAAACACATGGAACTACGCCTCTAGACAGTGGTCTGTGCTCTTCTTAGTTGTCTCCCAGAAAGAGGATGTTTCAGTTGCAAAGTTAAAAAAACAATATGTATAGGTGGCCATCAAATCAGGATAGTAGCTAATTACATACAGGGAATTTAAGTCTGTGGATAAGTTACTTTTGAATTACATTAAAAAAAAAATTGAAATGTTTTGGTATAGACTGAAGTATTTTTGGTATGGTTTTATTTACATCAGTCCAGCAACACAAATATAATGTCTTGAAATAACCAAAACATCAAGTGGAAAATTACTGGCTTCTGTATAGTGTTAGAATGACAAGCTTAGGTTTAACCAAATATGCTCCAAAAGTTTCCAAATATATCCATAATAAATTGCTGTTGATCCCAAAATTTGAATGGGAATCTTATTACCATCACAATCTATCTACACACAATGTCAATCTATATTTCTTACTACTTTTACGACTACAGCGCAGCTTTCTAATTCCCACTAAACGCGACATTTTTATGTTTTTTTAAGCCTAGACTGTACTTTTTCCCTCCTCCACAATGCAATCACATATATCCGTGCCTGTATCAGATGGCGTTGGATGCTAATTGGATAAGAGTCTGGTGGATCCAGCGCTAACCCACTAAAGACAGGCGCGAGAGAGGAGCAGATTAGATGAGCTGGGACGGATCGAGGGAATTGGAACATCCAAACGTTAATCTCCTTTTTCAAAACACATGGGAAATTTCTCTCTACAACAGAAGGTACAGCTCAGACCATCACTTCCTCCTCGACAGCCTCGCCTCTCAATGAACGCCACTATAGAGCCGACTGAGCTGGTGGTCCCTGCTATGAAAGAGGGTTGCCCAGGGTCCTATAGGCCTGATTAGCTCTGAGAACCACCGTTGTGAAATTAAAGGAGTTGAACAGAAGGTGGAAAGAAAGACAGATTTAATTGCCTCATTTGAGAATAGCAGTACAGTGAGGGTGAGAGAGAGGCTGAGAGGAAATGGTTGGTTTCAAAGGCACGGTATTGTATGAGGGGGTTTTATAATATATTTTTTTAGCTGTTGATTACATAGAAAAACAGACCCTGGTTGAAGTATGCAAAACTCACATGCAAATAGACAAGGTTTTTCTCCATTCATTTACCAATTCAAGTTGACACACCTGGGCGCTGTATAAGTTGGAGTCAGTGTAGTGCCTGGCCTGGGTAATACCACAATATAACTTATTCCATTTTGAAAAGAAGAAATTGGCATAACAGATCTGCAGACTGGGGAGACGAGCCCATTCTTTCAGTCCAAGCACATTAGCATGGGGATGGAAAAAGGTTACATACAGTACAGTATTTCAAATGATATACACTACTCAATAATACACATACAAATTGAATACTAGCACAGACATTTTGGATGCAAAGAAAAACAAAAAAACCATGAAAGACCTAAAAGTATAACTGCAAAATAGTACAAATTGATAAATGCCACAAGGAAGAGAAATCCAAAAGTTAAAACTAAAACCAGGGACCTTATATGGATGGGTGGGGACAATGGAAAACAGTACAGACAGGAAGTAAAACATAAGAACAAATATATATGTATAAAATAAACCAGGTAAAAAATAAAATCAACAAAAGTCCACACAGTTATTTTGAAAAAGTCGTTTGATGAATATAAAACATGTTATCTTTTGTATATACTTGTATGAAAGAGTGACTGTTTGACTTGTTTGGCTGAGAGCTGATTGGCTAGGTGAGTGTGGTCCTCTCTTTTCCACTTTCTGTCTGAAAAATCTGATTTAAGTATATGATAGAGACCAAAATATACCTGTTTTAACTAGTGATATAGAACCAAACTGTTTTGAGAGCAAGGAACTCGTTAGATTCTGTTACCATTTTGTGATTTGAAAGTGAGGTACTCCACGATCTTTAAGTTATTTACAGTAGTTATCTGCAATCACGTCTTTTTTTTTTACCCAGATGTATCACACACTCTCGTAAACGTCCCCACTTCACCGGCAATCTGTGTAATGTGGCCTTTTTGACTGCTAAAAAGTAATTTTAGCAGTCTTTCCATGCCGTTGACCCTCTTTATGAGACGGTCTTTGCCGGGCCTGTATTCATTCCTTTTCAAACTGTACCTATTATATAACACACAAGCCCGCACACACACGCACACACACACACACACACACAGGCACACACACACACACACACACACAGGCACAGAAGGAAGCAATAACTGATTGAGGGGCCCAGGCTGGGGGACGATGCCATCAAAGTCTGGGTTATAGAGCTACGTATAGAGAGCCGCGTACATACTGTATAGGTCTAATTGGTCCATGGTGTCTGTTGCTTCATAAAGCCTGACGATATTTACAGGTGGCGGAGGTCTGTGCTGTGAAGTTTTTCGCAGTCACACGTGAAAAACAGATCCGTGCTGGAAATAGCTGCAAAAGTTGGCGCCAGAAATAGATGTAAAAAAAACTTGAAGAGGATTCGATTGATGGGGAACGGCTTAAAAATCTATGGTGTGAGTTTCTTTCCTTGTGCCTACAGATGTGAAGGAAGTAGGTTAGGGAATGGGATCGTTCGAGTCAAGAGTTTAGCAAAGAAAAAGGGTTAGTCACTCCATTCAACTAAATTAAACAATAGAAATATGAATGTTTTGCCAATAGAAGTGAAGAAATCATATTCAAATTTACTTTTTTGCTTATGTTTGGATCATAGACTTCTCAAGGAAGCCCAATAGGGAAGTGCTCATGGACAAAGTTTTGTTTCAATATCTATTGATTTATGGCTCGTAATAACTTAATGACTGGAACTCTTCTAGCTCAGTAGTGGTTCTGTGATTGTTCTGTTTTTACGTCGCTACTGTAAATCCAGAAATGTGCCGTTTAAGGAAATAAAAATAAAATGCCAAATTAAAAATTATGCATTCTGTTTTTCTTCAGAAATTTGATAATCAGTTTACATATTAGAAGAGGAAAGATAAGACAATCCTGTATTTGTCCCTCTGTGGAAATAGCATCGTTGCGCACATTACATAATATTAAAAGGACGAAATAAGAGCGCTGAGATATCTATGATTTAAGATAATAGATCAGTAATATAATAAAAATTAAAAAATTAAAATGTAAAAATGCATAGAGCGTCACTTCAGAGTACTTTTGTCTTTTGGAAACATCTCTATTTTTTTTTTAAAGCTTTTATTGAGTGATGCGAAACTGTAAGAGCACAAGACCTCGGCCTAAAAGGTTCAGCTATAAACCTGTCACAGATCTATAAATTATTAGAATTTACAACTGTTCTTGTATAGGACTACTCTCTCAACATGAAATAACCCTTACAGAGTGAATGCCAGATCTCCTCAGACCCTGAAGAGGATCTACCCCCTGCTCACCGTCAGCCATAAGTCATTTGAAAGTGTAAACTAAAGCTGTGTTTCTGAAGTTGTTCCTCCATTGTTTGTTATTCAGAAATAGAGGACTGGCTCTTTAAATCGCAGCGGGGGCGGTGCTGTCCCGTGGAGGGAGGAGAGGGGGAGGAGGGAGGAGGACGGGGGAGAGGCTCGGGGGTGGAGAGGTCCGCGCGTCTGCTGCTTCTGCTTTGTGCGCCACACGGACACTAGACGCGCTCCGAGTGCGCACCGAGGACTCACTATACTTCTCCAGCGCGTGTTCATCCAAGGACGCTAAACCCAGAGACGATTTAGACTTTTTCTTTTTTTGTTGTTACGCCTGTGTGAGACTTGAGGAAGTTGGGTCTGGGCTGGAACTTGGCAGAGGATCATCAGTAAAAGCAAGGTAACTTTTTCTTTGGGGGATAACTCATCTGCTATTGTTTAACCTGCGTGCGTGAAGTCCAAAGTTAACTTGACTTTGTACGCAGCTCTCAGTAGATATTCTTCATCTCAACTCACGCTGTATTTATTAAAGATTTCCTTCAGTTTAACCACAATTTCAGAGATTTCCCAGTTTTGTATGCGCTCCCCAGTCCCTCTCCTGGGGCTCTTGTTGTCCCATATGGATCCACAATAGAATATGCGTCAGTCCTGTCAGGAGGCAGTTTGTTTATGTCTTGTTTGCCCGCTCTTTTGCCTCATCTTTTGCCTCCTTAGAGCTCTGTGTTTTTGTGCTTTAAGTATGTATTTATGCACAGCAAGACTTCAGTGATGACAACATTTATTGTAGGATTATAGCAGATTTGAAGTCATTTTTATATGGATCGGTGTTGGGCTGGTGGTGTGAGGGACATACAAAAGTGGAGAGCTCGCTGCCATGTTAAAGAGGGCAAACTTTTGTTGTAAACAGTAACATAATAACAAAGCTTTAATTCTCTCTTCATTAGATCTGTTAGATTGAGTGACATTTCGGGAAAAAAAGTTTATATTGATAATCAAGATGTTGTTTTTGTGTATTGCTTTGTTGGTTCACTCTCGGTTAATGAATGTTATTGGACATATCGTTTCTCTGCCATGTGAGTTTTAGACAGCGTGACATTAAAGCTGGGATACATAACTTTAATACTTCATAAACAAATACATTTTGTTTATTCCAATGTCAGAACGATTAGTTAAAGTAACGTTTGTGAACAAAACCGACTGCAGCCTTATACTCATTAGAAAACATGTTCCCTTTTGCATATTTGTAAGAAAGAGCCCTGTGAGTCACTATTGAACTCTGTGAGCTGAGAGCTGATTGGCTGAGGGAGGGTGGTCCTCTCTCCACATTTTTTGTCTGAAAACCCTGATCTAAAATTTGAAAGAGGCCAATAATACATTGTTTTGATGGATTGTCTATAGTTCATTTAATGTTTATACTTTCATAACTTGAGTATTTTGAAAGTATTGATAAAACCTTACCTTACTCAAAAGTATACAGGCTAAACATAGTAATGATTATAATGATGCTAGTTTGAAAGTTGACCAAAACTTAATAATATCAATATATCAAATATAAATTTGTTTTTATTGTTTTTTCGTATCTTTTTTAATGGCAATAGAAACACGCATATTCACTGCACGCCTCTCCATAGGTCTGATCTGTAACCTAGTGGATTTTGTTCTTTTTCTTGACAAAACACTAAACATCTCCATTGAAACGAGCTCAAAACTTTGCAGAAAGGTCAATGCTTCCCAAACAATACAGAAAAAAGCAGAAGTAAAGTGGTATGACAAATTCTATACAGTGGAAACGTCTTTTGGATATTATTTTTTGTTTGTTTTATCCATCCATCCATCCATTTTCTACCCTTTAATCCATTTCTGGGTCAGGGAGGTGGCAGTCAGAGATGCCACCCAAGTCTCATAGCACCAGCCCCTCACTGACCCTCTGCAGGTGGTGAGTCCACAGGAGGACGGCTGCTCTGAGTGTGAGCATAGCCTTGATCTTTCAGTGGGGGCTTTGGGCAAAGTGGGGTTAAGTGTCTTGCCCAAGGACACAACGACAGCAGTCATCAGTGGGAGTCGATGGAGAAGGTGTAGAGGTGGGAATTGAACCCACGACCTTCTGGCCTTAAGGCCAATGCTCTACCAACTGAGCTACTGTCGCCCCAGTTTTCTGTTTGTTTTATATTAACAGAAAAATAAAAGATACACATTTCACACGTATACAAACCTACATCACTGATACATATAGACATACAGGTAAACACACATTCTGATTATTTTCTACCCATGTCTTTGCTCAAAAAAATCCAATATTCACCTACATTTTCAATTTTCATTACCAAACTGCCACTATCTGTTTACTGCCCCTCACCCACGAGAGACCCGACTCTCTTACGCCTTTTTATTGCTTCGTAAAGCCTTCCAGCATTTATCACTATAATAATAATAATAATAATAACATATTCTGTCACAGCGGGGGCATATTGCAGCGGCTTGAAACTCTGTCCCAAGTACCTATTTGTGGATCGGGCTTAATCGGACAGATGGAGCATGAGGCTGCACTTCTCTCAGTGTGTTGCGTAATGATAATTCTCCATAGACGACACGGCGCAGCGGCTCGGATACTGTGTCATTGGCAACTACTACTTCCCAGCTGCTCGTCCATCCAGCACATCCATCCATCAAGTCTATTGGATCTGACCACCTTTCCAATATCATTAGAATAGGCTTGAACCCCGGTGTAAATTTTCCCCATGTGGGTAATGTGCCTAATAAGATGAATGTGTGTAATAGACCAGTGATGCTTAGAGATATTGTGTACCTGTATTTGTCTAGTTTTTGAGTTATTTTTGGGAGGAGTGGCCAAAATGTATGGGATTTGACGATTGATGTTTATTAGTATTATAGGGTTTGCATGTAATCTATATCTAAATTACAGAAATTAATTAATTTTTTAACGGTATTCGAGTTTTCATAGTTGTATCTATACAAATGGGTCATATTGTGATCTGTTGTTTTGACTACAAGTAAACTAGTAATATTTCATAATCAAGGGTTCTCTAACTTTCAGTCTGGGCCCCCGAACAAGTGTGAAATCAACTTGTGACCCCTTTTGATGAATAAATTGTGAACAGATCATGCAAAATCCCCCCGTGATTTGTGTGATTTTACCTGATTCCATGTACAATACTGTGATTTCTTTCTTCAGAGTAGTGCTTCTCCCCCCGTGGGTACTATTTTCCCCCGCTTTGAGAACCCCTGGTCTTGGTCAAAGCTATAGCGGAATCCTGCTCTATTTGTTAGCTTCATGCAAATGTTGAACCTCTTTCCAGAATTGTAGCTTTATTGTCTAAAAATTGACATGGACATAATTTGTATTGATTAATTGATTCTATTTCCCATTGTCCCAAGACAGATTTTTACAATCCATCAGAAATGTAATGGAAAATGTTTTTGTTGTCCTCTTGTTCAGACCATAATATCCTCCACAATGTCCCAACAAAAAGTACATTTATAGCTATCTCTGTGTGTTCTCATCGATCCTGCCGGTAGAATGAAGACCCTCTTAGTCTAAGTGCCTAATGTGTTTGTTTTGTTTATGTAACCCACCGCGTATGACCTCCTTTAACTCAACCACACATTACCACACCTTAGCAACGCAGCTAAGAACCGCGCTTTGGCCTTTGTGTGAAGTGACTAAAGCATGTGTCATTAGCAAAGGGACATTTATCAGTCGTTTTAAAATAGAAATAGAAAACAGTGTACACGCCTTTACACGACTTGGCTTTGAAACTCATCCTAAACCAACATCATGGTGTTGGTGAGATTTGTGGTGTAGATGCTGTTTATTTAATGGTAATCAGTTTTTAAGACCGGTACTTTGAGATTGGCAATGACCGCAGGAGCCAAAAAAAACAAAACAAAAATCAAGACTATTGTGGCATATTAGACATTTTTAAAACACTGGGACACTGCACAGGACTTTTTAGCATAACGGGTTTGATTCCACCTCCAGACAGGGCCTTTCTGAGTGGAGTTTGCATGTCCCCCCTGTAACTGTGTTGGTTTCCTCCGGGTGCTTCGGTTTCTCTGGGACCAGTAAGTTTTCAAGTTAGTAATTCAAGTTTAAGTAATTTAGAAGCTTGGGAACCTAACTTTCAAACAACATCTCATCCCATCTATCTATTTCCTGCAAGACACTCATGATTAAACTACAAATTCTCAAAGTTAGAAGCAAAAGTAAGAATAGAGCCGAGTAGAGTAGAGTAGAGTAGGGGCCAATAGAGCTCAGAAGAGTAAAGTAGGGACAGATTGGACTGGCGAAAACAGAACTGTTAATAAGTACTAATGTTGCTTAAAGATTAAATGTTAAACTGTATTTTCTACACATTTTAAGCTCCGTTGCTGGACTTTGCCTTGAGCCTAACATGGAACAGTTTAGTCCAAGGGCAGAGCAGCCGTTGGCTCAGCATTACGTCACCCTGTGCTTATTACACTATATTATTTTTCTCCTTTGTCGTGCTACAGTAGCGCTTTATCACACACGCACTCCCATATCTATTCATTACCATGGAGCTTCGTCCGTTGGTTTCCACCACCAGGCACATATCTCTCTCTGGCACCTTCCATTGTGCGAAAGGGAGTAGAGGGGGGAGAGAAATGTCATGTGGGTCTGTGATGGTACAGGCCTGGGGTTTTAGTACGCTCCGGAGGGACATGGTTCTGGAGTGAGCGAGCTGGCTACCTGCCCATGCATGAAGTCATCACAGATTTTAAGATTGGGAATAGGGAGGTACGTGGGGGGAAGGGACAGGACGGCAAGTCCATTTGCAGACATGACATAGTGTTCTGAGAATTAAGTTAATTGGAGGCAAGAATAGTTTTGCTTTTTTTTTATTTATTTTTTTATGTAACACTATGTACTTTTTCGCAAAGCTTTTAGCTCCGAGAACTTAACTTGTAATTACGATAAAGTTGTATATTGAAGTTGTGGGACCTGTTGTTCCAACTGTAAAAGTAGAAATCTAGTCCACATAATGAAGTATTTACGTGCATGAATGTTTGGCCGCTAGCACACGAGCTGTTTTTTTCCCAAACACAAGTTAAACAGGATGGATTCCCCCTGCAGCAGCCAATCAGGTCTCAGCTTTAAGAGGCAAACAGCGACTTGCATGGTTCTTCCTTAAAGGAGCTATACCCGTTTCTGCAAGGTTTGAATGTTTAGCACCGCCCTGCAACTCGCTCACAGGCTTCACATTTCCCCTACGCCCTCATTCCACGGAGCCATCTAGAGTTGTTTGCGATCTGATACATATGCTTACATTAGCATTAGCGCAACTTACCAAAGCATGGTACAAAAGCAACGCACTGCTAACAAAATATATAACTGAAAGATTACCGCTAGTTCCGCGTCCG